GCTCAAGTGGTAGAGCGCTAGCCTTGAGCTGAAGAGCTAAGGGAGAGCGCCCAGGCCCAGAGTTCAGGCGTCACGACACTACCCAAAAAAAAAAAAAAAAAGAAGAAGAAGAAGGGCTCAGGGTTTTGGGTTGTTTTTGGTTTTGGCTTTGGTTTTTTGTCAGTGTTGTGGGTCCTGAGGCTTGAACTCACCTGAGGGTGACCTCAGTCCTTGACCTTTTGTGCTCAAGGATAGTGCTCTATCACTTGAGCCACAGCTCTAATTCCAGCTTTTATTGGTGCTTAATTACAGATTCCTGCCTGGGCTGGCTTGGAACAATGATCCTCAGATCTCAGCCTCTTGAATATCTAGGATTACAAGTGTGAGCCACCAGCGCCCAGCTTGAATGAACACTTCTGAGGCCATTTTTGTTTATATTCATAAATCAGGTCTGAAAAGAATTCTAGGGTAAATAGGTACAAAGTTTTTTTGTTTTTGGCAGTACTGAAGTTCCATGCCCCTGCAGTACTAGATTTGAACTCAGTGCCTTATGCTTTCTAGGCAAGGTACTCTACAACATGAACTATGCCCCCAGCCTTTTTCTTGGTTTTCTGAGACCAGGTCTCACTTGTAGCCCAGCTGATTTGAATTGGGATCCTCCTATCACTGCCTCACTAACACTTGCAATAAGGATGTACTACCATCCCTGCTCCCTGTCTGCCTCCTGCCCACCCTGTGTGGAACTGCTGGTTGAGCACAGAGCTTTGTTATATGAGACCAGTACGCTACCACTGAGCTACATCTCAGCCCTTTTTATTTTGTATTGGGGTTTGAACTCAAGGCCTTCAACTTGTCAGGAAAGGTACTCCTAACTTGAGCCATATTCCCAGCCCTTTTTAAATTTATGCACTGATCCTCTATGTATGCTTTTCACATAGCTAGAATTATAGGCACATACCACTGCACCAGAATTTTTTTAAAATTGGTTTAGATAGAGAAGTCTCAAGAAATTTTTGCCCAGGCAGGTCTTACACCATTATCCCCTGGGACCTCCAAAGTAGTGGAGATTGGGCTGGGAATTTGGCTTGGTGGTAGAGTGTTTGTGTAGCATGCATGAAGCCCTCAGCTTCATTCCTCAGTACCACATAAACAGAAAAAGCTGGAAGTGGCTCTGTGGCTCAAGTGGTAGAGTGCTAGCCTTGAGCAAAAGAAGCTCAGGGACAGTGCCCAGGCCCTGAGTTCAAGCCTCATGAATGACAACAACAACAAGAAGAGAGAGAGAGAGAAAGAAAGAAAAGAAAAAGAAATTGTTATTTTGAATACATTGGTTACCAGTGGCTCACACCTGTAATCCTAGCTACTCAGGAGCTGAGATCTCAGAATCAAGGTTTAAAAATAGCTCAGGTGTCGGGCGCTGGTGGCTCACGCCTGTAATCCTAGCTACTCAGGAAGCTGAGATCTGAGGATCGCGGTTCAAAGCCAGCCCGGGCAGGAGAGACCGTGAGACTCCTATCTCCAATAAAAACCACCAGAAAACCGGAAGTGGC